AAGGTTTACAGGACAGTGGTGAGACCAGCCATGATGTATGGTTTAGAGACAGTAGCAATAGGCAGAAGACAGGAGGAGGAGCTGGAGGTGGCAGAGTTAAAGATGCTAAGATTCTCTCTAGGAGTGACAAGAATGGACAAGATCAGGAATGAGGTCATTAGAGGGACAACACAGACAGGAAGGTTTGGAGAAAAAGCTAGAGAAGCCAGATTGAGATGGTTTGGATGTGTGCAGAGGAGGGACTGTGGATACATTGGTAGAAGAATGTCAGAGATGGAACTACCAGGTAGAAGACAAAGAGGAAGGCCAAAGAGGAGATATATGGATGTAGTGAGGGAGGACATGCAGATAGTTGGAGTCAAAGTAGAAGTTGTAGAGAACAGGGTAAAATGGAAAACATTGATTTGCTGTGGGAACCCCTGAAAAGAGGGACAAAAGAGCCGAAAGAAAAAGAAGTTCGTATTGTGGTTAATAATTTCTTTTAATATTTCTTTTAATATTTCTTTATTTTAGCATTACAGAGTTGTATTTCTGTTATAATCATCTGTCTAACCATCAACCGTTTTATTATGTACTTCCAATCGTATGCACCGAGAATTAATATTTTTCCAATTTTTTTACTAGTGATAAACAATTGTCTTGTGTTTGTGACATTTGACAAGGCGGAACAAAATGTTTGTTGTTTTCACCAATAAGATTGCAAATGTGATCGTGACGCAAATATTTCGTCCAATCAAATGGATGAACTGTTTGCCCCGCCTCTATAGAAGTCTGATGTTTGTTTCTTCGTCTACTCGTATTTTTTTAATTCTAAAGATGCCACATCCTTTACTCGGCTTTTTTCTCTGAAGTATGAGTGAAAAAATTCAGCGGAGGAAAAGGGACATTTCGTCGTAACCACCGGTAAGCTGATAGCAAAGAAGTGACTGTCGGTCAATAGGCGTTAGCACTAAGCTAACATCTATCACTTCCTGACCGGTATTGCTAGCTTCTACCAGCTAACCATTACAATAAGCCTTTTTCCTACTTGTGCTCCTTAATTAGAAATTATATAATTTAAATTTGCTACTGACTTTAGTAAAATCAATTGAGTTGACTTTAAGCCTTAACAGTGGTTGTTTCATTGATGCTTGGCTGTCACACCCCACTATCATCAGGACCAGTGCGCCTTTTAGACCATAGCATAAAAGATTCTATTCTTAGTGAATAAGGCTTCTTCTTCATTTTTATATAAATCTGAGAATTGTATTCAGTGACGTCCTTGTAAGGTTTCGAGACTACTTCCTCGTTTCCATACATGTCTTAATTGTCTCAGAATCGAGTCAAGATAAGACTGGACTATTACATAGCTATATTATTATAGAAGTATGGGACTAAATGCAGATATTTAATGTGAAAATACGAATTTGGCTTATGATTTGATATGGCTCCAAGTGTTTTGTTTTACAACAATCTAATTTGTAGCCATTAAAATGCGTGTAATCTGTAAAAAAAAGATTCTAAATCATAAACAGTGAATGTTGTCATGTCATTTTTTTTAAAAATTTTGTCATAGAATTTTGCTATTTCTTATTACTTTTTTTCCATGGTAATTCCTTCACATTAATCCTTTTTAGTCATTGATGTTGTTTGTGGCATAATTTTAAAATATGGTTTGTATCTTGAAAAAGGTTGTGCAGTACTTATAATATATGATATCAATAATATAGGTTTATCAGTAGATGTGTTTGTGTATATTTATTTGACAATTTTGGCCTCTCCAGATGTAATAAAATTAAGAATGCTCCTGCATTTGCCCCCATTAATATTTCATCAGTGAAGTCTCACCGTTATTCAACACAGCCAAACTTTGTTTGGTGCAGTTCCTCCCTGCTTAATATTGTCTGTCCTGTTCTGCTTTGCAGTGATTCTGCACAGTTTATCGGAAGGATGGAAACTCTGATCCCCACCATTAACCGGCTGCAGGAAGTCTTCCTCACAGTGGGCGCAGAGATCATACAGCTGCCTCAGATTGTTGTGGTGGGATCTCAGGTTAGCCAAGAAAAACAACTACAAATATACAGATTCCAATAGTAATTATCTGTAAGCATTTGTGTTTATTATAGCTGTATATTATCTTGAGCTGTTGGTTATTGAACATATGCTAAAGTAAAGTACATGTGCCTGTGCTGCACTGATCACTGACACCAACTTTGTCAGCCACTCTGGACACATTTCAAAATGTCATGCATTTACATTATCCTGACTGGACTATTGATGGACTAAGCCTGGACCAGTCTTATAACCCGAGTGAACTTGTTTGAATACAGACTCTTAAAACCTGGCTGTCAGACTGTAGACCCAAGCTGAGAAATGAAAGCATATCATCCTGTTCTCATGGGCTTTCTGTCTCTTCCAATATATATACAGCATACAATGTTTAGGTTTTATTACCAACTTCTAAGGTTGATTACTTTTAACTTTTCTCCTTGGTCTCTTTTAAATGTGATTGTATATATTTTCTTTTTACTTAAGTTCTGTTCTGCTTTTATTCAATGACGCATTATATCCATAAAATGTGTCAATTTGTGTGCCTTATTATTATCATTTTTTTTTTATATCACAGAGCAGTGGAAAAAGCTCAGTGTTGGAGAGCCTGGTTGGAAGGGACTTCTTACCTCGGGGATTGGGAATTGTCACAAGACGACCGCTGGTGTTGCAGCTCATCAATGTCGCCCCCCTAAAGGAGCGACTGAAGCTCGATATTGGTAATGAAACGTGTACCAGTGGTTTTACTTATGTCTAGGAGTTGTTGTTTTGGATATATTTATATTGTCAGTATTTAGATAGTTTTGACTCAAGTATTTTGGCAGATAAAAAAAAATACAACTAGTCTGTTATTTAGCCCAACAGGCTAGAATCTAGACATAGGTATAGTTCACTTTTAAAATTAAACAGTGGGTGCTCCGTTTAGAGATAATCGTCAGTGCTACCAAAATTTCACATTATTCTTCCAAACACTAGGTTTGCATCATTTACTACTCACCAGTGCAGATATAGCTTATAGTGTTAGGGTTAAATACATATAACTCGAATCAGCTTGAAGAATAGATAATTCAAGACACTTTACACCTACATCCACTGATAAAACTGCAGTCTATTCTACTTCTAGATTCTACTCCTCACTAAAATACATACATGTCTTTCTTCCTACTTCTTTTTACTTTTTCAGGAAATGTGGAAACGCAAAATACTCAGAACAGCTACCCAGGTCTATTCTATCTGCATGGACTTGTTGTTTTAGTCTTCTAATTTCCCTTTGTTAGTTTTCATACATTTTATTTCTCCTGACTGTCGTCAGTCCTGCATGATTTACAGAATGCTTCAAAAGTCTGTGACGTTTCCATAGACACTTTGAGATAAATACTAATTACATTTGTAACATTTGTACTCCTTTCCCCATTTCCTTTCATTTGTTTTTTTTTTTAATGCAACATTGTGAGAATACTTAAAGCTGCTTTTGTTGGCTCAGGTGTCAAGGCTGAAGAATGGGGTACATTCCTCCACTGCAAGAACCAGGTACACTTATTTTAACACAATCAGATAATTACAGTCTGCTTCTCACATTTGGTATGTTTGTTTGTTTAGCTGATCCAATCTTCCAACATTATGTTCCCACAGATTTTCTCAGATTTTCAGGAAATCTGTCGAGAAATCGAAGCAGAGACTGAACGCACTTCGGGTGACAATAAGGTGTGATAGTGTTGGTGGTATTAAATCAGTGTTTCTCAGAATAAACATGTTACACTGTGACTTTCATTCCCTTTTTTGCACTGTTTCAGGGAATCAGTCCTGAGCCCATATATTTGAAGATCTTCTCTCCAAAAGTCTTAAATCTTACCCTAGTTGATTTACCAGGAATTACCAAGGTAAACTCAGCCACTTAGAACAGATGTTGATCTTGTTTTTATACAGGCAAACACAGCAACACTTCATGTTGATTAAAGCTGATTGCACTGAGGAGCTGTAATAATCATAGATTCACAGAGGCACTGCATTTGTCCTCTGACGTGATGTGCTGATTGCTTATTGTTTTCTTCTCAGGTTCCTGTCGGGGACCAGCCAGAAGACATTGAGGCTCAAGTGCAAGAAATGATCTTGTCCTTTATCTCCAATCCAAACTCCCTCATCTTAGCAGTGTCTCCTGCCAACTCCGATTTGGCCACCACTGATGCACTCAAATTGGCACGTGAGGTTGATCCAGATGGTAGGAAATTTTGCACACAGACGCTTCTCTTGTCAGATTTCACTTTAGTTTGGGCTTTGCAGGTTTTTATTGAGCAGCAGAAAACAAATGGTATCTTTCCAGCATGGATGGAAAAGCAGCCTCATTACACACGATTAAAGTAAAATCAACTGAACAAAATCTAAAAACAATTAAAAGGGACTTTAATTTTATCTCCACTCAAATGATGTTGGTTTCATAACAGTGTTCAAATAGAATAGAATGTCTTTTAAATTTTTAAGTAAGCAGGAGGTACAAGCACATTTGAGGCTATCAAAGCCATCAGTCTTTACTGCACGTTGGCTGTTAACTGGCTATAAAGAATTGTTTCCATTATCATGTACTCAGAAGAATGGATTGATCAATGAAGAGAATCTCCCTGTAGTTGTTGTCTGGGAGGTTGGCTCTAAGACTGAGATGTGCCTGTTGCATACAAGCACTTCACATTTCCCTCAGTGTGTCTCAGATCTATATCTATCAAAGAAACATTTCCTGTTTTTTTTTCTCTTCACTGTTGACACTCCCTCAATGCGTTGTCAAAGTAAAACTACTGTTGTGTTTGTCTGTCAGGTCGTCGAACACTGCTGGTGGTCAGTAAGCTAGACCTGATGGATGCAGGCACTGATGCGCTGGAGGTCCTTCTGGGTCGCGTCATCCCAGTCAGGCTCGGCATCATTGGTGTAGTTAACAGGTTTGAATTTGTAGTGAATCTACATTTGTGTGTAATTAAGGTCTTTTGTCTCTAATGTATAAAGCTAGAGATGTCTTAATTAGTTTGTTGGCTCCTAGTCAATATATACATTAGTGCAGGGGTGTCGAACTCACTTTCACTGGGGGCCACATCAGCAATACAGTTCCCCTTGTAAATGGAGGACTGAATACATCAGGGGTCCCCAACCCCCAGTCCATGGACATGTACCAGTCCATAGGTCATTTGGTACACAGTAAAAAAATGTGCTTAATTTTTACCAATTGACTTAATTCAAAGAAAATCCAGTCACATCCATTTACTTTCTTTATTTAAAAATAATCTGTCATTCAGACTCTGATACAAACAGGATAGAGTCTAAAATATGTTTTATTTTGAAAATGTAATGATCCTTCAGTGCTCAGCACCTTGGTACCGGTCTGTAGTAACAAATGCTACTGGATGACAAGTCCTTGGAACAAAAAGGGTTGAGGACCACTGGTTTAGATATAACCAGTCTATAACACTAATACATGTTTTTGCAATTGATTTTTATTTATTCAAGCTACAAAAATTGGTCATTGCTGTATAATTAAAAATAAACTGTTAATTGCATAAATTAAGAAACTCTGCTGCATAGACTACTAAATGCTTTTTAAGCTCCTGACGGCCACAGAAAATGGCATGACATGCCACACTTGGTCCCCGGGCCTTGAGTTTGACACGTGTGCATTAGTACATATAAACTGGAAGATGAAGTGTGTTTTGAGGCTCAGCAGTCACATGCAGCGAACAAGTGAGGTCCAATAAGAGCAGCCAATCTGTACCATTTGTTTTCAGTAGTTTCCCCTTTATTGTTTGTAATTTTATATCACTACTTCCCTCTGACTGCTGAGATAAAGCAGCCGTGTTAGCTAAGAGCTCTACCTCTGTGGAGCTGCACACCTCTATTGATGTTTTTTTCTTTTAAACACATGCCTCTCTTTTAAATCATCTTTAAAAAATGAGGCATATGCTTCTTTTTTTGTCTTTTTGGTCCTGTCCTTGCTCACCTAATCTTAGCCAATTCTGCAACCCCCCCCGCCCCCCTCCCAACATTGCAACCAAGGTGTCCTGAACCCTTGAAATCAAAAGAATTGTGGTTTTGTAGTTTATTTTTCCATTAAATCCCTGTGTTTCCCACCTTTACATTTTTAAAAGCAGAAAATATCATGAACTAAGATATGACCATGAATGTCACAATAAATTAATGTGAAGGGTCTGAATGGACACATTGTACTAGGATTTTCCCTGATTCCTGATAACATTTTTACCTTATGGTGCAGTATATATGAGCACATTTGCCTCCACCAGAACCATCTGTTTTCACTACATCTTGAAGGTTAATTGAGTGTTAACAGCCTATAAAGTAATGTTGCCTTTATAGTACTTTCTAAAGATTAGATGGATCAATGATAAGTGGCTGACTGCCGTTATAAGAGCATGCTTTGATCTGATAAAGGCAGCATTGTACATTCAACATGCACATTTTCCAGATTTTGTAATTAAGCACAGAGTCTTGCCTTCACTTCCCTCATCGTCCTGATCATCTAATTTAGCACTCACTCTCATAGGAGTCAGCATGACATCAACATTCAGAAGAGCCTGGAGAACTCGCTGAAGGATGAGCAGGCCTTCCTGCAGCGCCACTATCCTTCGCTTGCCTCCCGTGCTGGTTCACGCTATTTGGCCAAGACTTTAAGCAAGCTTTTAATGCACCACATTCGGGAATGTCTTCCGGACCTCAAAACCCGTGTGACCATGCTGAGTGCACAATATCAGGCGAGGCTCAACAGCTATGGCCAGCCTGTGGAGGACCAGAGTGCCACCCTTCTGCAGATTGTCACCAAATTCGCCAGTGATTACTGCAACACCATTGAAGGCACAGCCAGACACATTCAGACCTCAGAGCTGTGAGTTTTATTGAATAATGAATGCAGCAGCGTTGTGTTTCATGTTTTACTAAATAGTTGTTAATTTTGTCAGGTTGTCTTCTAATTTAGCAGTTTAGTCACACAACCCAGTGATTTACTTTAATTGAAGTAGCATCTGCATTGTTTGTCTGTGTTTTCCCTCTCTTTACCTTACAGCAGTTTGATTTATGTAAATATGTAGGAAGCAAACATTGACCTTTTTTGGTTGGCTGCATTAGATTTGGTGCAATTAGTATGGCTGAGACAAAAGACTGAAAAACTTCAGCTGTGTCAATGCTAAACCATCTCTTCTGCAGATGTGGCGGCGCTCGGATGTGTTACATTTTCCACGAGACTTTTGGTCGCACTCTACAATCCATCGACCCCCTGGGGGGACTGACTGAGCTTGATATTCTCACTGCCATCCGCAATGCCACGGTAAGCCTCTCCTGATTTCTGTTTTTGTGATTTGTTTAATCCTGCCTTTGTGCAGGTAAACAGTTGTGCTAATGTTTCACTTCTTCTCCGTGCGGCTGTTGCTTCAGGGTCCGAGGCCAGCTCTTTTTGTGCCTGAGGTTTCCTTTGAGCTGCTGGTGAAGCGGCAAATTAAGCGTCTGGAGGAACCCAGTCTGCGCTGTGTGGAGCTGGTTCACGAGGAGCTGCAGAGGATCATCCAGCATTGCTCCTCTTTCAGCACACAGGTCAGTCAGGAGTAGATGAAACAAGTCACACATCACTAAAGTCCTTAAAAAAAGTGCCACCACTGACATTAGATCCACTGTGAAGAATTGATTGGTGTCTAGTTTTAACAACAGCATATGTTTAAACTAGGGCTGTCATACAATTACATTTTTGCAATTTTTTGATTAATTGCACAGTAGCTGCCCATATATTTAATCATGATTCGTAGTTAATTGTGATTAATTAAGTTTAATCAACATTCCTAAATTTGATATACTTTTTCTGCATAACTGTGGAACAGAAAGAGCAGGTAGATGTAATTGTTTCACACCTGTTTTTAATCTGTGACTAATCCAATGATGACTCATTACCTTGGAGAAAGATCAAGAAAAATATGCAGAGCATAACTAACTTTCTTATAGAGTTGATGAATATAAGTAACTATTGTGGATCTTGACTGGCGGTTGGCGTTGAATTGCTTTCAAAACTTTTAAGCTGTTGTCCTCATCAATATTATTCTGTATATAGTCCCTTACAATCAATTTGACAATTGTGTCAGTCGTAGCCAATGCTCTCAGTGAGGCTAGTGTAACACAGGCTTCAAGCAACGTTAGATGGTTGAACTCTTGGTCAGCACATGCCGGTGTTAGATGTTAAGATGTTATTTTAATCTCCAGTGGTCAAATGTATTGACTGTGTGTTATAACAATTAGTGGATGGACAGTGGAATCATTTGCTATACAATGCATGTCATTCTACTTGTACAATAAACTTTTAATCATTAATTTCTCGTTATTTAAATTTGCACCGTTAATAAATAAAAATAAGAATGCTGTGAACCTTTCTGTAAATGTTTTTAAAATTATTAAATGATGTCTTTGTCATTTCTGCATCACTTTATTTAAGTATATATTTTTTTCTTTGCTAGGAGCTCTTGCGATTTCCCAAACTGCATGACTCCATTGTGGAAGTAGTGACTGGATTACTGAGGAAGCGTTTGCCGGTTACTAATGAAATGGTAATCCATGTCTGCCTTACATCCTTCTTACTAATTATAATAACAGTGAGCCCTATTACCCTATTAATTCTACAAGGCACTTTTTCTTGCTGTGCTTTCTATTTCTCTAGGTGCATAATTTAGTCGCAATAGAACTCGCCTACATCAACACAAAGCACCCAGATTTCACAGATGCAGCTCAGGTCTCAGCATCTGTCAACAGTCAGCAGGTAGTTATTTGTACCTTACCGCAGGTACCTGCATTTTTCATTTGTTTTGTTTGGGTAAACAACATCAGTTGTGTTCTCTAAAATCACATTACACCACCAGACATAAACAGCCTGTTTCTCACTTAGTGGAGTTCCAGACTTGACCGACTGACTTCTTTTTCACTGTCAGGCAGATGCCCTTGATGGAGGAAAGCGCTGGAAGAATGAGATGGTTGGAGATAATAAAATTCCAGTGTCAGGCTTTGGAAGCCCCAGCAAAGGTCGTGCCATTAACCTCCTCGACACAGTGAGTTGCTAAATAAGTAGCAGGTTTATATCCATCCATCCATTTTCATTCGCTTATCCGTTACCGGGTCGTGGGGGCATCAGTCTCTCTGACCGCTACCCAAATCACACTGCACCATACCAGCCCCCCTGAACCTTCCCACAGGTGGTGAGTCCACTGGAAGGTACCAACTGCCCTAACTGAGATTCGATCTTGCCCAGCAGGTGAACCCTGGGGTTCCACACCAATGACAGAGATAACTCTTTTCTTTACCAGGCTGTGCCCACATCACGTAAGCTGACCGAGAGAGAACAGAGGGATTGTGAAGTCATCCAGCGCCTCATCAAGTGCTACTTCCTCATTGTCCGTAAAAGCATCCAAGACAGGTTGGACTGGGACAAATCCTACTCTCTAGAGGGATTGTCTCTCCTCATTTCTCCCATCTGTCCAGATCTTGAGTGTGGTCCTTAATGAAGCTCATTTTTGTCATTATATCTCTCTCTGTTTCTATAGTGTGCCCAAGACAGTGATGCACTTCCTGGTGAACTATGTGAAGGAGCATCTGCAGAGCGAGCTAGTGGGTCAGCTTTACAAACAGCCCCTGCTGCAAGAGCTGCTTATTGAGTCGCAGGACACGGCACAGCAGCGAACAGAGGTCGCTCAAATGCTAGAGGTGAAATTGGCCGATGTTTTTTTTTTGTTTTGTTTTGTTCTCTCAGTAGTTTCTGATCTTACACAAACTATATTCCTGTGTCTTTCTACTACCTTCCTTCCTTTCTCAGGCACTTAAAAAAGCCAATAACATCATTTCTGAGATCCGAGAGACCCATCTGTGGTAGCCAGAAGACACAAAATCCTCTTGTCGTGGGACAGCACTGAAAGTATGAGAGTGGGTGTGTTTACAGCAGTAAAAGTACGGAGTGTGTGGATGTGTGTGTGAGAGATTCCAAATGTGTGGCAGCACCAACCGTTTTCCCATGGACCAATGACCGCAGCACATTGAGATTGTCATAACTGGGGGCTGTTGCTTTTTCACTGTGAACACTCGGTGTGGTAATGGACACTGATTTAAACCCTCAGGTCAGAAGTGTTATTTTCTGTCTAAATGTGAAGGGTAGACATGAGAGTGAAAATTATGCAACACTTTGTGACATAATGTCTGCGTGTTGGTATGTATGTTGCTTTAAATGTGAATTATATGTAGAGAGTTTTGACTGGTGATTCAGGGTTTCTGAAGTGTTTTCTTTGAGGTAGTACTACTGACAGTTACTTACAAGTCAGTACTTGGATGCTTGCACACAGTTGTTTACTGTGACACACACAAAAAAATTATTTCAGCTACTAATTCAAAATTGAATGCAGTTTAGGTAACCTTAAAAGAAAAGTATGAAGGAATGCTGAGTAAGTGTTGGTAAACATTGTAGCTCTCCTTGCTTCCTACATGGGGTGCTTTAGTGTAGTGCAAATCTTTAAGCCTGATATTGTAAGACTTAAAACTGTATTCTGTGATTTAAAAAGCCTGTCCCTTGCATATCTGACACCCACTAAGTTTGTACTTTCTACTGGTAAACATCTCAACTCAGAAAAATTGTCAACACTTGCAAAAAAGAAAAAATGTAAAAACACTGTCAGGGGACAAGAAACCTGCTAATCCACTAAAGTGAGGGACGTAATTGTGGTTTATTTTTTGAACATTTCTTTACTTTACCTTTAAGTTTGTTATATAAAGTCTCTCCCCTAAATTAACATAGCTGATGTTTTGCTGCCTGCAGTTGTTATTTGTGACCACACTCTCCTTTACCAAATCCAATAGAAAAAATGGTGATTTTATCTAAGTTGACCATGTGGACTGCTGCTGCCTCATTCAGCAAGTTTGTGCCACTGAGGTCCATCTTAATGAGGAATTATTAAACACTAGAGTTACGAATTGAAACGTAGAACTGAGCTGAAGGTTCAGCTATTGATCAACAACTCCTGTGTGTCTGGACTTTAAAATGGTGTTGTTTTTCTATTCAATTTGGTGCAAGCAGAAAGTTGGTTTTAGAAAAGCAACAACATATCCTTCATTTCTAGTTAAAGGGGCTTTTAACAGAAGGATAAGCTATTGATGACACTTCACCAGGTGAATCGTTTCTTAAGTGGCATCTGTTACTACCTCATACAACCACACTTAAAAAACTCAAATTTATTTTGGTTTCCTCTCCAGGGTTTATTATTGTATTAAAATGTTACTCTAATGTTCAGTTTGACACTTTCCATAGGCTTTTATCTGGGCCCCGTAAGCAGGTGCTCAAAAGTACATCAGATGAGTTGAATTTCAACTTTAATATAATGTTGTGTGTCAGTCCCTGACCAAAGACGGAGAACCACAGCTCAGTCATTGCTGACTGCAGCACCACACTGCAGTTTCACCAATGTCGTTGGATTTAAAGGAGTCACTGGATGAATGCTGATTTACTTCCAGCCTATGGTGAAAAACTATACTTTTATTTTACAGTGTCGTTCACATATCAGACTGTCCTTGCACTGATTTACTGTTTAGGTATTTATGAGGAGGCTGACATACAGTACATTAGCCTCTGCATCTAAGACGCGTTTTAGGGAACTACTATTGTGTCAGTGAAAGATTATCAATAACATTTTTTTTTAAATATAGGATTGTATGAAGTAGGATCCGCTAACTTCTAATTTACCTCACCCAAATTCATTTTCCGCTGGTTTCAACTTTAAGTGGTGCTGCAAACAGATTGTTCCACATCACTGAAACTCTACAGACGTACACACCAGACGCTGCCACACATAAAGAGATTCAGTATGCAGCTATACTCCTGCATGCATTAGCTACGTCCTGAATTAGCTGGAGCCGTTTCATTGTGTAATATAGCTTGATGTTGAAAATTATTCATCTATTCCTGCGTGATATTCCCAACCCATGTCAGTGGACAGATTAAATGTCATGAACAAATGCAATCTTTTTCTCTTTCAGTCAAAACAATGTGATCTCAAAAGGGAAGAAAACAGTGGCTTGCCCTAATAGAAATATCTAACTTCATGGAACATCTCAACGAGCCAGAATAAAACAATATTGCATGTATGATGATCAGTATGCATCTGTGGGTGTATGAATGAATTATTAAGTGTATATTTGTATTATTTAAATGTTCCGCAGAGTCTAAAAGCCCGAGACCACACTTTTGGACACCGGCTGCTGCTGTCGACTGCCTCTGAGTTCACACCTGCCAATATTTGTGATACATGTTTACTGAATGGTGTGTATTCAGACCTGAGGGGTCATTAAAGGTCAGAAGACATTGGACAAAAGTCTTTTTCCTGTTGTTATTGATGACACAGTCCATCGTAGACATTGATAGGTTTTCACAACATTTTGTTTGTTTGTTCTTTTTGTCTCTGCACTCCAAAGGTTTAGATCTCATTATTGTCACTCTGCAACGATATTGATCTGAAGTGTGTGAAAAAGGTCTGTTCACTGTCACATCTGCGCCAAGGAGATAAACACAAAAATCTGGTGAAAGGTGGCAAGTCTTTCACACACACACAACACAAACTCTGATCTCCACCTCCCAACGTTTTGAGATATTTCAGATATGTGACTCCACACTTCACCAGCTGGAGAAAATTAAATTTACCTCATACTGCTCCTTTTCAGGTGATGTATTTATTTCTGTGTGTTGCTGAGGAAATCCAAGTGCAACCTGAACCTTGGGCATGTGTGGTGAATAGGAAAAATTGATGGTAGGTTCTGGAGTTTGTTAAGAATCAGAAATGTCTGAATAAATGCCTCCTTTAAATTGATTCACTTTAATTTATGCCTGTGAGGAGATTCAGGTGAGGGAAGATCCAGGGTGAGGAATGCAACACATAAAATACATTACAACAAATCAATGAATGATTGGCCAGTAAAAGTTAAATTGCAGTGTTTATGTTCTGTCCTGCATGTGGTGTGGATTGCCAATGCCTCAGTTAATGTCTAATGAGCCTAATGATCGTGCGTAAAAATTAAAAAAAAAAAAAAAGATCAAAACACTGTTGAATTATCTCATCCCTATCTTCAGGCTGTAGAACTAGCTGCTGGACTAGTCCTGCTTGTAGATCAGCTTCCTCCTCATCCTCTACTCTACACCGACACCTCTACACTGTGCATGTTGGCTGCAGCGGAGATTCCTTTCACTAGTCACTTTGCTGTGCCAGTGTCTCTGGACTCAACAATGCTCCCTTAACAACAAGACAACCGAGTTCAGAGACCAAGTCACAGAGTTGAAGTCTGAGTGTGTTTTCACATACAGACACCCTCAAAGAAGCAGCAGTGAAGGGACTCGGCTCTTTTTAAGTTCACATGTTGATTTAAATTCAGAGATGTTCTGGTTTTCGTCCACTTCAGTTAATTCAGGTAATTTTAATCGGGAACAAAATGAACCGCTGGCACTTTCTGTTCACAATCTGCAGCTAACATAAACTTTACTACTAACTATTGTGCAACCAGTTCAAAACCACCTTGGACATCTGTTATTACTCAACTATATGAGATGGACGAATTACGATGATTATGTCTTTAAAACCTCAAGTTCAAAGTTGCCTTATAACAACATGTTTTGGAAATTGGCCAATCACCTTTGTGGGCATGATGACAAAGACAGAAAAATGGTCCACTTTTAGATAAATAAAATAAAATCTAAAAACTTTTACCCAGTTTTCATGACTTGTGTTAGACGTATACCAGAAAGTTCAATGGGATCCTCTGGGTAAAGATGAAAGTTACCAGAGGAAGAATAAGCCAAGAAAGAAAATTCTTAAACAAAAAACTGGAGATATACATAAGAATAACAACCAGTGAGTCACTAGGCCTCTTCAAAATCCGATTTCTTTAAGAGACCCCTTTTAGCCAGAATGACAAATTATTCTAAGTACAACCTGGTGAAGGATGACACAAACTACAAGAATAGAACATTTGGTGAGGTTAAAAACCTCAAATTATTCGCCGTTGAGTTGTTGCTTATGTTTGGAGAAGCATAAAACCATAGAACACTATCCCCACTGGAAAACACAAATGTTCAGAGCATTGTATTGTTACCTTGAAATTTAATGGTATTTATAATAAAAGACAGTCAATATGTTTGTTTTTTCATATAATGATAATATATAAAGACAGGCTGTGTGAAAGTGATTCTGTTCACACACAGCAGTCCAATCACAGTCCTACACTGAGCATCTCCTTCCAAAATGGAGAATTAACCAGTAGCTAATAAACTCCTAACCTCAGGTGATTATTTAAAACTGCTTGGACTTAGTTTCACACTGTATCCAGTCATTCTGATCACCCTCTCATAACCCACCCCACCAACTGAGACCAGACTAGACCATACCAACACAGGCAGGATGTGGAGGGGGCTCCAAGGCAGCATCTTCACAAATTGCTTCTCTTTGGTCTCCTTAAAAGCAGCTGCATCAAAGTGGAACCGGTCCAAGGTACTGGTAATTCATTTTTAGCAAAGCCTTTGTGCTTTCATGCCATTCATCAGAGGAGATCGCAGGGTTTCTGACTGTACTCTCCTCCTCCACCTCCTCCTCTCCTCCAATGGTGAGCCAGGCAGCAGAAACAGGCTGAACAAAGCCATGGGAAAGAGAGAGAGGGAGAGAGAGAGAGAGAGAGAGAAGCTCCAGCAAAGAAATGTCTCTCACTGACTGTCTCCTGGACAACCGGGTAAGTGAGGAGGGAGGGAGCACAGGAGAGAAGGAGAATGGAGCAAGGAAGCATATAAAAGGGAGAAAAACATCGTATTAACTGCTGAGATTAGAAGATTCCTGTTGAGTGTGTGTGTGGGGACGTGAAGAGTCCCTTGGTGTCTCTCTCTCTCTCTCACTCATTCTCCTTATGAGTTAATAAGTATGACAATAAAGCAGTAAATAATTGTTTTTCTTTTTCACCTTTACAAGGATGAGATGAATTTGCAGAGCACAAGTTCAGCACATCACAAGTGGACCCTGAAGGCCTGAACTCTCCACCTGTAATTCTTTTCTAATCAGCCTCAGGTAAGCCTCTTCCTCAGTGCTGCAGGGATTCGCTTTGACGGAGATGGTTTTCTCAGTGTGGGCACGAATAAGAATGATCATTAGAGTGAGTGCATTTAGAAATTAAGAAAGTCACAAAATTGTCTGGGAATCAATAAGATCTCATTCTTTTTGCTTTGCATTTTGTCTTGCAGAGCAATCATTGTTCCATTATTAAGGCGTAAATGAAGAAGATAAGTTTTGGACCAAGAAGGGCTTTGAATGTGCTTTACAGCGTTTACTAAAAGAAAGTACCTTCAGTGTAGTATTTGACATTGTTTTTGCCTTATTGCGCTCCTTGGTTCAGTCAAACAAAATTTGCCAGGAACGTCGCTCACAGACAACAGCGTCCACCGGGAGCTGAGCAGCGAGAAAAATTAACATCGTGCTCAGGTGCAAAACGGCATTTGATCACATACACACACACACACTCAATCTTCATCATCACTGTGTAAAGAGAACAAAAGGCTCCTTCCTCTGAACACACACACACACACACATATACTCCTGTGCACTCATGCATGACAATAGTGTTCATCGAAATCAATGCCCCCTTTAACCAAGGTGGTTTTCTGCCTGAGTTTACACCACGTCCAGAAGTCTGAGTGTGTGTGATGCCCATATTGAAAAGAATAGAAACGGACCTGATAAACTAAGGAGGGTGGAGGTTGGGTGGAGGTTATTTTTAGCTGCTGGCAGTAGTGAAGGTTACAAATCTCACCTCTCTCGGGGAAATGAGAAGAAAAAGCAGGCGTAATAAAAAGAAGAAAAAGGGGAGAAGTGTAAGGGAAGGAGACCTTTGCTGGTGACGAGTGAAGAGTAGTTCAGACTCGCATCAGCATCTCCAGTTTTTTTTCCCTTACGTTTCTTTACCTATAACTTACTGACACCATGAGATGTAGTGTAGGGTGAAAATGCTGACAGTCCACAGTTTTACTGTGTGGAACAGAAGCACGTACGAGGACATTTTTTTTTGGACCAGCTGAGTTTAGAGTTCACCCTCACAGGTGGCTGAACATGACACGCGATGGCCTAAAATTGCAGTCCGGTGGTGCATAGCACAGTCCATTAAATGCTAATGCTGAGCTTCCTTCTAAGCATACAGGTGGGAAACCAGGACCACCTGGTCGGCACTTTGTTAGGATGTAAAACACAAACACACGACAAGTTTCATCTAATGGGCCATCTTAAGCTTTCGCCTTTCACTGATGTTGGTTAAAATGACCAATGGTGTTATGTTGGGGCATCATGGAAGCAGGCAAGACTCAAATGCGATTTGGCAGATTTATTAACATAGTGCAAAATAACACAAAAACACAGGCTGAACAGTACAGCAAACAACATGAGCAGACAGAATACAACACAACACACACAATGATCCAACAAGGACAGAGTGACGGAGAGAGGTACATATACAAAGGTCACCAGGTGACATTAGTGAGACTAATAAAAATACAACAGGTGAGTGTGATGACATTGATTGCATTACAGAGCAGATAGCAAAAACAGGGAACAAACAGATCTCACAACTGGCTTTAATATGGCCTCAGTCCTTATCTCTATAATTTTATATTGACTGTAACAGCATCAAAAGAGCAAACAGTAGCTTCATTACTGATGGGGCCATATGGCAGAATGTGTTCAATTTCATCCAAAGGGGTGGAAGCCAAATTACACCTTTATTTTAAATGCACACCTGTGTGGCGGTGTAAAGAATCCCTGTTTTCCTAATCTTTGCAGAAAAATAGCGTTGTCGAACAATCCTGGCAGCTTGTAAACACATTAGTTATACCCTGGCTCTGCAACCTGCTCGCAGTGCATTGCAGCTGTACAGGGCTCATAATTATTGTGCATTAGGTGCAGCGCTCCTGGATGTGCAGCAGCTTTAGACTCATCAGGAAAGGAGACAAAGCGACATGTCCCTGAGGCCATGCATCACTGTACTTATCTCTCTTCCTCAGAACCTGTGTGCCGGCTGTTGAGCAGACAGCAGCACTGAGCTCCTTTCC